GCCGCAGCCGCTCGCCCCGGCGCAGGAGCCGCTCGCCCAAGCCCCGCCGGAGCCCCGACGCTCGCAGAGAACGCCGCCGCGGCAGCAAAAGCCCACGTCGCCACCGGGAGCGCAGACGCCGCTCCAAGTCTCCAGCGGCCCACCGCAGAAGCCACCGGCGCCGCAGCCACTCCAAGAGCCCTGAGAAGAGTGTGAAGAAAAGTCGCAAGAAGAGTCGCAGGGGCGACCAGTGACCCCCGCAAATCATCCTTTTTTTTTTCTTTTTTTTTTCCTCCTCCTACATTCACTTTGTATTGACTGTGGATTATTCAAGTCATGACTTTTGGACACCTTGGCTGAGTGTGTACATTCTGTCATTGATAAGAAAAGAGGGAAGGGGGAGGGTCATTGCGGATATACTTTTTTGTATTGAGGGGGGGAGGGTCAGTGCACTGTGATACCATTGCAAAAACTGTTTGAAGGGGAGACATCATTCGAGTCATGGCTTCTCCACTTGTGTCTGGGGTGCATGGCCACTCACCCACCTGTCGCCTTGCCTCCTGACCCATGGGAAAGGCTAACAGTTGGATGCGCACTTCTGAAAGAACATTTGTCCAAATAACCTTTTTAGTTATTCCTGGGAAGACCCTGCTCGTGCTAATGTTCCTTCCAATAAATAGCAAGAGGCAGCTCTTTATTTTAATTACCGGTAGTGACTTTTTAGTTCATTGTCATATTCATTTAAAAAGTACAATGTACATTTTTCAATGAAAGCTGTTGTGCCCTGGCACTCTCTCAACCCAATGTCTTGACTAAAAGCATACACACCATTTTTTATTTTCAAGTGAAGACTTCTGCAGCATTATATTCTTAACAAATCTAGTGAGCTATTTTCAGAACGGGCTCCTGGACTACTCTTGTGGTCCTTGGGGGCTCCCTGGTGTTCGCTTTTACAATAAACAACCTTTTTGCTTGTTTTCTAGCATGTGAAGGGCCTAAACAGGAACTGAATCAGTAATTTAGATAAGTGTATTTTCTTTCTAGCCCTTCAACTTAAGAGTCTCAAAGGGCTTCAGGTGACAGTGACATCCCCTGAAATACCTCCCCAAGCCCAGGAGTGCAAGGGGAAACCATTTGCTGACTGAATGAGAAACCTTGTTACTTTGAAAACATGTCATGATTTGTAATAAAGAAATGGAAATTTAAAAAATCATTTTTTTAAACCCAACCCATTAAAAAAACTTTTCTTGGACAACACAAACTGAAGCAACAATGTGGTAAAGATAAATTGTTTTTTATAATGCTATTTACGTGTGAAAAGAAATATTGACATTGTCACGTTGATTGCTGAGGGGAGGCAGTTAATGACTTATAAAGTCAAACAGTCGCTCTCTAATGTCTTCTGCAGGTGTTAAATAATTCTAGAAACTGGTAAAGGAGGCCCCTAGAAAACAAAAATAATGACGAGAAAAAAACCATAACAAACAACTACAAACTGGAAAAATACAACAGGACAAATGACAAGAAGAACCTATAGTGCTTTTTAACTTTTACATTTTTTTTTTTTTATTAATGTGTAGAGCGAAGTTTTACGATGGTAAGTACAAAATTGTGCGTTTGTGTCCGCTTCGTCTTTATCGGGGTAGCGTCGACCCCAAAAGTTACGTTTCCAAGCAACTGGTTTCCGTTCAACAGAGGCTGTAACAGTGCCGCCAAGCGGTCGGAGGAGGGACTGTCTTTTTTAAAGTGGGTCTCGCAGATGTCATCTACGCATGCGTGACAATCAGTCGTTAACAAATACGAGGCTAAGAAACGAGCGGTTTTGAATGATCGTACAATACCTTGAAACCGATGCCGTTGATCCCAATTCCAGTTGTTTTCAACCTACTAATAAAATAGGAGTAACTTATTTTATAAATATGATGAAATGTTCACAAACAGCTGGTGCTGATGGTTTTTGGCGTAAGATCCTTCCAGCCATTCTGAATGTGATTACTGAGCCACTTGCTCAAATAATAAATCGATCCTTTCAGCATGTCATTGTTCCAAAGCAAATGAAGGTGGCAAAAATATGTTTGTGAAAGTTTGTCCGTATGGAAAAAAAAACATGCAACACACTCGTGCCACTATGCCCATGCAGGAGTGGACAAGTGGTAGCAGGAAGTAAAAAGCAGAAAGGTAAAAAGGAGCCACCCGGCCAGCCACCCAAAGCGGAACATGAGGCAGAAGCCTCGCTCTGTGCCGGGAGAATGCAGCCCAGCAGGTTCTCCCCAAACCAGTCCAACTCAGCTGACAGGACTGGGTTTTTTTTTTTTATTACGGCCGGGAAGAAAGGAAGGAGTGAAGACCGTCAGTTTTTTATTGGTCTGGGCGACATGGCGGTCAACATGAGCAAAAACGGCGTCGAGCTGATGGCGGCCTACAAGGATGTGGTGGATGGACACTCAGAGATCAATTGGTTGGTGGCGTTGCCTACCGTGTGTGTGTTTGTGCGTCTGAGTGTGTGTGTAACATGTATGACGTGTGCGTCTTAGGGTTTTGTTCACCTACGAGGGGAACAGCAACACCATGCGCGTGGCGGGAAAAGGAGGTGAGGAAAGTCATGTGATCCTTAGCGGAAGGTAGCGTGACCTTTGACCTGCGCATGTGTAGGCGACGGTCTGGAGGAGATGGTTGAAGAGCTGAACAGCGGCAAGGTGATGTACGCCTTCTGCCGAGTGCAAGACCCCAACTCAGGCCTGCCCAAATACGTGCTCATCAATTGGGTGGGTGAAACGCGCCTGCGCGCGCACACGCTTGCTATGATATTCGGCAAAACCTCGCATTGTGTCCGTTTTGTGTTGTTGCTGCTGCGAATGGCAGACAGGCGAAGGTGTGAAGGAGTCACGCAAAGGGCTGTGTGCCAATCACTTGGGTACAGTGGCCAATTTCCTCAAGGTGAGAGCCGCTTTTGCTCGTTGCTTTCTTTACGCCAGGCCAGTACTGGTTTGCTGTTTTGAACTTATGCGCTTGTGCGCAGGGGGCCCATGTGACCATCAACGCTCGCGACGAGGACGACGTGGACCCCGACGTCATTCTGTCCAAAGTGTCCAAAGCGTCAGGAGCCAACTACAACTTCCACAAGCCTGCAAACCCACAGCCCGGGGACGTCCCCCGACGAGCCGTGGTGAGACAACGCACGCAAGACAACACCAAAGCAAAATACGCATCGCTTATCGCATCTTTTTTTTTTTTTTTTTTCTCCAGGGTTCTGTTTATTGCAAAACAAACGCTATGGAGGAAATTCAACAAATCAATAAAGATTCTTTTTGGAGCCAAGCGCAGGTAATCACGACACTATCGACTCAGCAACTGTGATGTCATTTTTAGTCGACAGCAAGTGGAAAAATGGCGGCCAAGTGAGATGGATCAAATACAAATGCAATATTGATCCGAATGCCGTGTTTAGACTAGCGGGGCCGCGTAGAACAGTTATTTGAAAGAAAATTTGTGATGTGACAAGCCTGCCGACGAATAAGTGCTCCTGGCCACTGGCAGTCGTTGGCGGTACCGACCCCAGTTGCGGTTTTCACACTTCTATGGGAAGGCCTGTTTAGCCTGCTGAGTGTTGTTTTGAAGCCCTCTTGTGGTCAAGAAATGTAAGACCTGCATAGGTGAGAATGTTTTTGCAAATAAAATAAAAATATGCATACATATACATGTTTCTTTTAATGCTGAGGTGTATTATCAGTACATTGTGATTGAAATGTTAACCGCAATCAACCATTATTACACAATTTGGTTGGTATGATGACTCTGTTTTACAGAGTTTCGTGCATACACTTGAGACATTTGGTTGCTTTTGTCAGCTGAGAATAAGAAAAAGTTGTTGTTATTCAGTGCATGCATAAAATGTGAATAGTCGTACCGGAGTCGGTCTGAAAAAGTTACTACGTAGGATCCCAATGAAACAAGATC